ACTCATATTTAAAAGTTTACACGCTGAACATAAACAAACAGTTTTTCCTATTTTACTTTTCACAGCAAATATTCTCCCGTCGAAATGAAACACATTTGATGTATCAGATGTATCACTTTTTGTCAATCTGTCCATCCTTGGTTGATATCAGACACATCCCCAAGATGATCACCTCAAGAATGGACTGATATTGGCATATCTTTAATGGTAGGTCTAGCCAACTGAAGGCTTGAAATTTTGCCAGATATCTTGTATAGCTAGTGGCAATCATGGTAGGTGTACCTCTGGTATGTAGTTGTTTGTGACTTAGTCAGTGGTAGACGATCGTAGACTGACTGTGAGATGAATTTGACAGCGCGGTTTAGTTTATAGTAGTAAATATCTTTGTCAGTCCTAGAGAACTATTACGTAGACCGGCATGGTAAATGTATATATATGAAAGGAACAAAGCTACCTCGAGTCAAACATGCAGTGCCCTTTGTCTCATTTAGTGGTACTCCCCCATGCCTACAAATGTTGTTTTGGGGAAACAAGGAACAGTGACAGTTGAATATATACATGCCGAGGGTACGTCCATGCATGGTTTGTAGAAGATAGGGGTGGTTTGAAAAAGAGTTTTGAAGTCTACGGTTGTATTTCATCCAATGGTGTTAACTATGTAGCAGTTTTATTGCGTTATTCTTCAAGCTTCAGCAAACAGAGATTCCTATGCATATGAGTCGGATATATTTTGTATGAATTAGCATAGACGATCCTTACCGGGCGAATTTCAGTCAAAATGAATCAGCACTGCGGCCAAAATGCATAGACGGAATGAAATTCTCCGCAGACAAAAAAATACAACTCCTATAATTCGGAATGATAATTTTAAACTGAACCGATCCTATTTGCCTACTAGTATTTAGCACAATTAACTACTGTGGCACCATAGAATCGATCACAACCATGGATAGATGGTAAATTTTATTATCCCTTCTCGTCAGCAGACGCTATATGTCCTTATAGAAGTGTAACGCTGACTTAGGGTTGTGATATATGGACATCTCTCAGCACCTCTGAAGTAGAGTAACATCGGTCCGTACAAGAATGTCCGCATTTCCTGTTGTCAAAACAAGAAGGACGCACAGATAATGGTGAAGCATGACTTTACCCGTACCTACAGGTGGGCCGGAGGAATGCCCCTCGGGCTGGGTTTTAATGAGAAAGTATGGACCGGCTGGTCACACGAAATTCTCGCCTGTCATAGGAAAAAAAATCAACATCTTAATGCCCTTCTTAGCATTGTATATGGGGATAGATTTGCCAGAAGAATCGATCTGCATGTGTTCCAACTTGGCTGGGCAGTTTAATAATAATCTTCAAGAAAAGTTTTGCTTTGTGGGGGTTCCAACACGTGCACGCCTATTGACGGATATATAGTTGCTGCTCCACGCGTTCATATATATTCATAAGTCTTTAAAGATTTCGATGGACGGAATAAGGACGCTTCCTTTGCCTTTTAATGGCCCCTCCTCCCGGTCAAACCTTTCAACCGCGATCGATCGAGCACCTGTCAGTTAAAGTTTACCTCCAGCTCGCACATAGAGTTGAAAACAACAGAGAAGTGTATGTACACTTAAATCAAATATTCTTAAAGACACAAGCCGACTTCTTAACGAACATGTTTGCAGGTAAAACTCACCGTAGTTTGCTGTCGTGTTTTGCCGCCGTTAGCGTCGTAAAACGCCGCTGGGGCGTCCTTCTGCGCACGCTCCGGGACCTGCGGGAATGCGGAGCAGGCGGATGTCAACACGCGTGCGTGATCACGGCCTGCTGGGGCGAGTCAGAGGCCACTGCAGTGTACTGTGCGGTGTTGTGGCCAATACTGCGTTGTTTGGCATAGATCTTAAGAATAGATGCAAACAAAAATCTGCTCTTTGTAACGTTCGCCCGCATGCCTTGTGAAGACTAGTACATCGTAGTGAGCAGTAAAATAATTAACGGCATAGTAGATTGAACAGTGGCAGTACGTAGGAATAGTTTACTGGTGGCATCTCAGTATTATTTCAGGAGAGGCGATCAATATGTTCTGCGAACCATTAGATGGACAAACGTATTATGAACTGTTATTGGGGGGGGGGGGCTACGGGAACACAGATTTGAGGCGCTAGCTCACTCAAACTCACACAAATGATGCGCTTATCGTTCTATCGATCCTATATAGTGAAAAACTTGATTGATGAATGCATGCATATAGCGCATCCATTGACCAACAATCAAACCAGATCAATTTCGCATTGCTCTTCTTAAAGAAGCAACTAACGTTAACACTATTTTTTTTACACTCGAGCTCGCCATGGTTTGCAAAGAGTAGACACATATTATGTTCCTCCATGGCAGTTTCAAAGTTTTATTCCGGATCCCGGTTTGCGTGCGAATATGACCAGAATCCCACTAGCTAGCCTTACACTGTTAGTGTATAGCGGCCCAGTGTGATTTGCTCAAGAAGACACGAACAAGCTGGCTCCTAATCGATGAAGTAATCTATGCATCAAAACCCCCTGAACAGATACTATTCAGAGATTAGTATTCGTTCGAAAATAGTTTTCGCAGATCTAACATTAGTAACGTGTCGGCAATATAAGGTTTGCATAGTTGATTGTAATTGCTGCTATATGTCTTAGGACAAAATCACAGTAAATATATATCAATTATTTACAATTACCAAAAACTGCTAGTGATTTATGAAAAGACAGAAACAAACAGGCAGACAGACAGATATAGCTGGAGGGATAGACAGACAGAGAGAAAGAGAGATAGAAAGTCGATGTATATTTAAACGTTACGGAGCAGAAACATGAAGGGAAAGTCACAGGCAAAATTGGAGTGCAGTTGAACAATTGCTCTACGGATCCCCGGACACAAGAAACAAAGAATTGGAGGACCCGTTAGACACCTCTGCCATCAGCTGGTGTTGTGGGTACAGGTACTGTATACACCGCCGGGCTTTCAGTAGGTTCTTTGTGGACGGACTCAGTGGCGGAACCATCAACATATGTGTCCGGCACAGACAGGGAGATGTCAACACAGGTGACTGGATGGGAACGGATAGGGGTACGGTGTGGTGGTTGTAAAGAAAGACTTAGAAATTTTACTAACCTTAGTGTTTGTTTGTGACTCACAGAACATCTTAGGTTGCTTGCCAGGGACCGGAGTTACTGGTGATATTCAGAGAGTGAATATCAGACGTTATGACCATCATGAAGTGAAGACTGGAAAGCCGCTTACGTTGACTAAAGATATGAACAACATAGATGAGGGCCCGCAAGCCCTTTTCCGTAGAGCGTAATCGGCCGTTTTAATTCTACGTAGAGCGTAGACGGACCGCTCTCATATTTTTGCGTTTTAATTCTACGTAATGCGTTGTAGCCACTTGGAATTTATATTATATCGTAAAGCGTAATCGTGAGGTTTCCGAATTCAGCGTAGAGCGTTGTCGGGACCCCCCTTGCAGGCCCTCATAAATCACACACAAGCTGCAGAAGGGAAGGCGGACAAAAACCGGGCGCATGATAAAGAATGTCACAATTTTCCCCAACAACCTCTGCTTTGGAGAGTAAGATAAGGGAACAGTGACGGTCTTTGTGAGGGACAAAACTGCTTTTCACAAACTGACGTATGGTAGCCAGTTTATTTCTCAAAAACAGAACAGAAGATATCCCCAACTGTCATACTTTTATATATATTGGTCCTCTGAAATGCTTCAAAACAAAACACATTATCAATACTGAACTACAAGTCACCAATTCCGTGCTCCATGTTTAATGTTTCACCTTTTCTTCATAAGCTAGAAGTAAGATAACACAGCAAGCTACTGTTTTTCCCGTACATCACAGTCATTGTACCTGTATAAAGCTATGCTTTATTTAGTTCACAATGATCAAGGACATTATACACATCTCTGTTTTATGTCCTTGCAATGATCAAGTCAGCGCCCTCGGTCATAATGAAACAAGTGGTCAATGCACTGCAATATTTGCATCAATCGCATGTTGGCGCTTCGCAACTGTGAGTGCCGATAAACGTTAAAAAACAACTTGACGAAAGCGGTACATGACGTGGTTTTAAAACTATTATTCAGGTACATATGCCTTTTAAATATTACACTGTATTTTAGTGGTATAGAGAATTTCTATCTTTATTTTGTAAGGATAAGGAGCTTTTATCTTTCTCTTCTATGTGCCATGCGTTTTGATGCCTTCGTGAAAATAAAAGCCCAATAAGACATCGTCCCGCGCCGCCTACTTTGGTCTAAAAAGTAGTAATAATGAACGGGTATTAAAGTAATGTAGTCTGCAGAGAGTGAATTAAGTACTGGAAGACAAAACCACCGGATCGCATTCCACTAACTAAAGTGTGCAACAGGTAATGTTGAAAACAGCTAACATTCTCGCCCCCCTCCCACTATTTGGCTTTGTTCAGTCGTGTGGATGTTTACATGCTTCTTGTCTCTGTTTATATACCCTCGTAGACAGTATAGAATCACATAACACTCAACTATCTTCCAAGCTAATGCGAGAAAAAAATTCTATGCATGTGTAGATGATCTTATTGACCTCTTGATCGTCTGTAATTTTTTACTTTGTTTTTTTTTTACTTTTCATGTAAAAAACCCAAGTTCCAAAAGTGAGTTTCAAATTGTGCAAATTGTATTTGATTATGTCCTTTATTTATAGTTTTTAAGTCGTCCAGCACATCCACACATCTGTTGGTCACCATGGCAACAGAGGAAGATGTGGAGAGGATGGAGACATCAGAGGAGAATTTCTATGATAACCTGGATGACATCATCTCTGGGCTGGTGAATGAGAAACTGGAGAGCAGTGAGTGGGTGGAGGGTCTGCCGCCAGGGATGGCTGACATAGAGAGGGAACTGGGCAACCTGGAAGGTGAGAAAAACCAGGCTTTTGTTTTTGGCAATGCCTTAGGGACAAGGCCTTTTTCTTTGTTGTCACGAGACAAGCCATGCCGCATATCTATTTATATTGAAATTCTGTGCCTAATTAGTAAGTGTGTAACAAGTGTAATAAGTGTTATAACAAGACAGGCCAAGGCGTATGCAAGCAATGGCTTTTTACTTTTACAGCAACTATTGATAGGCTTATGTAAATCATTGGTAGACCGTAGACATATGGAAATTGCTGGTAGACAAACTCGCCAACTACTCCCAGCCACTTTTTGACAACTGACCATGATGTCCAGACAAAGGCTCAAACTACAGCCAATAGCGTTACTCCTTCTCCAGACCAGCAGGCCCGTATCCAGGACGTGTTCAGGGAGTCGGAGCATCTGCTGGTGGTTGCCGGGGACAACCTAGCCTGGCAGCAGGCCTGGTTCAAAGAGTGGAATGAACACAACAGGTTTGTCAAGGTTACTCTGTCACGACAGAAATGAAACTTCCACAACATCACGTAACATTTTTCTGTACCATCTTGAAAACGAGATTTTATGTATTTTGAGGGTCCTTTCAAACACAATGACATATATTAGGTACCAAATACATTTTGGGAGTAGGTGCACTGGAACACATTAGTGACCTTACATATATATTAAAAATTTTGGTGCGGAGAAAAATATTTGGCTGCACAATTTGAAACCCTACCCAAAGTTCAAATCTTACCTCCTCTCTTTAGTATTTCAAATTCTATTGCTAAATTCTTGTTTCTCATGGGTTAATCAGGTTTTATTATTTCATGCACAGCTCCAATTTTGATCGCACAAAAGTGCATGTGCACCTTCTATTTTGACCCATGACCTATGAGTAACTGTTATGAAATAAGGACTAAGCTTTATTACTTCCAACACTTAGATTACCAAATTGGGACTTACCCCAAATTTTTGAGTAACTGTTGTTTATGTCTCATCAGGACTGGGAGCCCGGAAGAGATGGTCGATCTCACAGTGGAGGATGATGATATCATGGTGGTGTCAGAGGGGCCAGCTACACAACAACAGCAAAAACAACAAAAAACACAACAGCAACAACAACAACAACAACCACCACCACAGAGACAAGAACCACAGCCTGAGCCATCGTCCATTCCACAGACAGCAGCTGAAGATGTGACTCTTCCTTCCACGCCCCACCAATCCCAGCCTGATGGTTCAGTACCAACAGCCAATCAGGAGTCAGGAGCACCCTCTGTGCAGCCAATAGCAGGTCAGAATAAGGAGCCGTTCCAAAGGAAAGTGTCAACTGCTGTGACTGGACCATCTTCACAGGTTTGCTTTTATGATGGATATCCTAACTACCACCCTCCAAGTTATTTAATTAATTACTAAATGTGTTGACTATTTTTGCTATGACTTGAAAGGCAGCTATACAGACTTTCATACAACTCAGGGGCCGAAATAGATTTTTGGGTCAATTTGCACTGGTGCAGATAAAAAAAAAATAGTTGCACCCCCCAAAGATAATATGTGCAAAAGTACATGTAGTAACTATAATAGTGTCCAATATTTGCTTTAATTTCTGTGGGGATAACTACAAACCTTATGTCAGTAAAGTGGTGCCTGTACCACACTTACATGTACATCTCATCATCAGATAAATCACTGGTGCACACTGGTAAAAAATTAGATGCACAGCACCAAACTTACATGCACCAACTTGCACACAGAAGGGTATTTTGACACCTGCAACTTGTGAACAAAATTAAGGGGGCACACCCCAGTTTATTTGGCGTCTCTATTGGAGGCTGCACACCCTCAAATCTAGCGACCGTATCTGGCGTGGAATAATTCGGAATGAGAATAACTGTATATTGGACGAAAGGATATCTCTTCAGCTACAAGACCAGCTGAGTTTGGTTTCTTCAACCTTTTTAAGTTTGGTAAAATCAACGGAAAAAACATTTTTTTTCACTCCAAAATTAATGCCCAAAATTGCGAATTTTCGCGTAGGATAATCCCATAGAAAAAAATTTTCTGGCAGAAATGACTGATGCTGGCAGAAAGACCCAAGCCTTGACTATACTCGAGTAAATTATAAAGAAAATTCTAGTACTGTAATTTTCTAAACAGTCCACGGCGCGAGGGGTTGCAAATGCACCCCTACGAGGGCGCAGAGCGAAATCTAGGTCAAACGGGCGGATTACACTTGGTGCGCAAGGATACCCGGAAGTAAGGTTCGGAGCCAAAAGAAATTTTCACCCCAAAAACACCACTTCCTACACTCTTCAGCCATGTTAATGTTTAATGACACTTCGTAGCAGTTTATGAGAAATGTCACCTCAAACTTGGACCCTCAAAACCCTTTCGTCACTTTTTTACAACGGACTATCACGGACCCCGGTCGCGCAAGAACTGGGGTGTGCACCGTTAATGTCCTTACCTGGCATGTACATACATGTAGCTGCAAATGTAGTAAAAAATATAAGAATATAACAAAGAAAAAAGGCTCAAATAGTGACATTAGAGCTACAAATGTAAGACGTACAGCAATGTTGCTAAAAATTGGATGGTCAGGAGAGTGGAAAGTTCCAACTTTGTGTGTGAATGATAGCAGGTGGTTCCTGGTACATCAGACCCTCTGACTGTGGAGCTGGCTGTAGGCATGAGGCTCATGGGGAAGAAAAAGGACGACATCTGGTACCAGGGTACTCTCATCAAGATCGTAACTGATGAGAAGGGAATGGTGAGAAAAGTTTCATCAACATTCGTTGTAAATTGTTACTCAGTCAGGAATAGAACTAGAGGAAAATGAATTCTAGTACAATGTACGCTCATGGAAAATACCGGTAGTGTCACCATCTTTAGCAGAACAGTAAACAATGATATCTGTGTAAAATTGCAATGTAATTTGGCTATGGCAAATACAAATGACAAAAATAGATTGTGATATGTGATATGCATGGATATAACAGGTGTCATTAAATGATTTAATTTTGGAATGTGTAAGACTCTGAATATCGTGTGGCTTTGAATAAAGCTGTAATGGCTGACTATTGTTTCCTGCAGATTAAATACAAGGTGAAGTACGATGTGAAAGGGAAGGGTCTGCTGTCAGGGAACCACATCGCCTTCTCTGAGACGGTGGGGCAGGGAGTACTTCACGCTGGCAGCAGGATTGTGGGTAGGTCGCTAAAAATAAGAACATCAAAGGCAATGATGAGGAGTCTATGACAGCCTTTCCCCCTTCTTGTACCGGTAGATATTTACATTTGTATGTTATACACTGTAGAATTTTGACACAAATGTAATCATCAGAACAACTGGAAGAACTGCTGGAAAAAGTTTAGTACACAAAGGAACATCATAAACATATATTTTTCTTCATGATACATTTGGATAAGTTTCAAAACAGGCTCAAATACACATTAGTAATTACCATCAGAATCACCTCAGCCATGGCTGGTATTTATTTGAACTCCCAATTTAAACAAGTTAACTTTATGATGCTAATTTTGGTCTTGACCTGGCCTGTTACACAGGTCAATATGTTGATGAGGAGGGGGACTCTGTCCAGTACCTGTACGCCGGGATCGTGGCCGAGCTGCCGTCCAAGTCAAATAGGTCCCGCTATCTTATCTTCTTTGATGATGGCTTTGCAACCTACCTCAGAAGGAACCAAATACACCAGGTAGGCTGATAAATTTTGTTTATTTGTTTATTTGAAATCTTCATTAGTAAAATACATTATGTACTCACTAATCTTCCTGGAGTCCTTTTCTAATACTACATGTATACATAAACGCATGTACAAATCCATTTACAATTTGACACATGGCTCTACCTTAATTGTCCTTAGATGAAATCATTCCTGTAGTAGCACATATCCTGATAAACAGTCTTGGAATTGACAGGAAAGTGTCACAATAAATTGTAACAGAAAGTTTACATTATACACTACAAGTTCAACATTGCTTAAGAGAAGTACCTTGTGCAGTATTCATGTGAATCACTAGGTGGTACATTGTACATGTTCTTCATGCTGTAGGTGTGCAAGCCGAGTACAAATGCTTGGGAGGACGTCCACCCCAACTCCAGGGAGTTCATCAGGGAATACTTGCAGGGATACCCTGAGGTCAGTATTTTGCAGTAGAGAGTAATGGACTGAAAAAGTGTACAACTGAGTTCATTTTAGTCCAGAAAAACTTTGTACCCTTAGCCTTAGCCTTAGAGTGACTCTTGAAATGAGTTACACATTTATTAATATTCCTTGACTGAAAAACGCTGCTTCAGTGTTCTTTCCTTTCAGATGTCAAAAAAGTTTAACTGACTGAAAAAAAGAAGAATGCAATTTATATAAGTAGGTCATAATATCGCTCAACAGACCAATGTAACCTTTTCTGCTATTAAAACCAGAATTGAAGTGGAGTGGAGCTTGTTATCATCAAAAACAGTAGACAACTTCAATAGATAGCTTTGAAAAATTATGCAGGGCCTATGTGTGATAAGACCTTCACTGGAATGTTAGCAGCTCTCGTGCATAACCACATTATCAGTTGACCATCATCTGTAACTGTCATGAGGATGACCATGAGGATGTTATCTCCTTGAATCAACCACTACAGCTACAAAATACTGACATTATGTCATGTTTTTCTGTAGCGAGCCATGGTAAAGGTGAAGGTAGGGCAGAAGATCCGTACGGAGTGGAACGGTCAGTGGTGGGATGCTCGGGTGGACTCGGTGGACGGCAGTCTGGTGAAGATGTACTACCCCACAGACAAGCGCTCGGAGTGGATCTATCGTGGGTCCACAAGGCTCTGGCCACTTTACGAAGCTTTTGTAAGTCAATGTTATCTGTCAACTCTTGACTTTCTCTCCACAAATTGTAGTAGTCTAATAGTGTGGTGTGATTATACTGCTGGCAGAGGTTGGCAGCAACCTCTGGTATACTTGTAAACATTCCTCCAGGCAAAACATTGCAGTTGTTGTAATCCTTATTTGCCATGTCTACCCTATATGTACATTTTATTCTGGCCAGGTGTGTGTTTGCACATGATGTAACATACCATGGGATTTAAACTTTATCGTACACCTTCCGTACCCGGCAAGGCCTTACCTTACATATGTTACCTCCACAGGCTCACCAGGAACAGGCACAGACTGGGGGATCCAAGTCCATCCGCAGCCACACCATGGGGAAGACACGCGGCCCACACATCGAGTACACACGTGCTGAGGATGAAGGTGGTTACACACACATAATGTCATTGTTTTCAGTAGTTATCATTGCAGAAAATGACATAAGTTGTAACAATTGTATGATTGCTTCACCTAACAGGGCTCGAAACACTCTTTTCTGCCTAGCTACACTGGTGCAGATAACATTGATAATTACCTGCACAGCTCCAATTTTACCTGTACTAACCTGCATATGCAGGTGGCATTTTGAACCCTGCCTTTGGTATGCTACATGTACCCATTCGGAGCTTTTGTCCTCAATATTCATAGAATCATTGCAGAAACATAATGCATCAGTTGCATCAGAATTTGCAAGTTGTTTTTACTTTGTCTTGGAAGCTAATCAAAATAATAGTGTATCAAAAAGAACTGCTATACATTTCTTACAAAAGCTGTGTTTCTGTTGATTTCAGAAACCAAAAGTAAGACAACAGGTGCAGCGGGGACCGTGCAGAAGAAGGCAGCCCCAACATCAGCTCCTGCCACCTTGACTTACTTGACTGCCCCCAGTCTGTCCAAACCCCCCTCCCACAGCAGCAGCTCCACCAGTACCGTAGACTCCAGCAGCCTGTCCTTCGAGAAACTCCTGACAGAAGACATCGAAAAGCTGCAAGCTGGTTCCAAACTGGTTCCCTCCAGCAGTGGTGAGCTGCAGAACAGTGGTGGGGGGATGGGGAGACCTGTCGCCAACAGGGAGGCCTGGTTACAGATCGCCGGGACCACTCAAAAAAAGACAGGGACTAGCCAGAAGTCAAACACCACTGAGCAACCAAAAGTTACCACCAGCCAGCAGTCAAGTTGGCCAGGGAAACAAGCAGTGACCAGTCAGCAGGCAAGCAGTGCAGTGAAACCGACGGTTGCCTCAACAGTGAAACAAACAGTTACCACCACCCAGTCATCGGGCACAACATATCCTCAGAGACCAAGCAGGCCTCTGAAGAAGCAGGTGGCAAGAAAGAGTACTGGCCCAAAGTCAAGAAGGCCATTTCTTGACCTTTATACTGGAAGTACTGGCAGTAGGAAAGACATGGCCAGTATCCTCCAGGAGAGGTTAATGGAGGAGGGAGGTGAGTCTGCAGCTACCAGTAGCATACTTTTGTTCATTTTCTTTTCTAAACCAGCATTTTTATGCAGCCTTCAGCCATATATGTAGTTGTCACAACCCCCCCCCTCCCCCCGGTAACATCTGGTTCTAATCTACAAGCTAAAGATAGGAGGCTAGAGGACAGTCTCTTAGCAACAATGGCATCCCTGGTCACCCCATGACATAGTTAACTACTTTTTTTCCAAATATGTCATGGTGAAGAAATAGATACAAAAAGTTCTTGTTTGAGGTCATACCTATTGCTTGGTTCCATGTTTTGCAGATTCTAACAGCCGTTCTAGTGAGGACAGTATTGTGGATATCACCATAGAGACTGACCCTATGGAGGTCCCCACCCCCAAAATAGTGAAGTTCTGCCCACATCAGTGCACTCCGTCATGTGTCAGTCATGTCCGCCCAGCTAATCCTGACCAGTACAAGGGAAGGGGACCATTGCCACACTCCAACCCACTCAAAGTACCCATATTGTACCAGTGGGAGAGGTAGGCAAACATTTAGACATCTGTTAGTCATGGCCAGACCTCTCTCCCTAGCCTCTTCAAGTTGCTTAGTTATTCTGTGTATCTGTAGGGAGACATATCAATTCATATTTTTACTAATAAAACTTGAACTTGAAACTTGAAATACTTATTTATACACAGGTTACATTTATACACAGGTAACATTCTCAATCACTGAGTGGATGCTAACTGAGAATGCCTGGTATTTCAGAGAATTTATCCAGTTGCATGACTTTGTAATTCGTAATTTTCTAACGGGATGTCTAATCTTCATGAACATAACATCAATATCATAATTGATGAAATCTTATTTGATGCCGCTGTGAAACGTAGGAAACAGATTTCAGACACTGAAGTTAAGAGTATTGTCCATTGTCAAGCTGCATAGCTGGCATCATAATACAGATGAGTTTTGTGCTCTTTGGTCTGAATGTACACTGTCCCATCTACTTCCAGGTACATCGGTAAGAAGCGCCCTGGTGGCACTCGAGATGTCTCGTACCGGACCCCGTGTGCTCGCATGGTGCGGAACATACGGGATGTCTCGCGGTATCTGGCGCAGACCAACACAGACTTCCTGTCCATCGACCAGTTCTGTTTCGACCCTTACGTGATGCTGGACAACTTAAGGCCAGAGAAATACTATGTCAAGATTCCAGACATCTCCAATGGCAACGAAGATGTTCCCATTTCTGTCAGTAGCTTTTAGATGTTGTGACAATGTTTTATGTAAGGTTGTTCATCTTGATGTGGGGGGTGTGGAGGTGGCAAGAGTAAAAATAGAGGAAAAAATTGTTAGAAGAAAGTAGTGAAATGTCACTGAACTGAAGTCATTGAAGAATCATCACCCTTGCTTGTCTGAGATGCTTTATTGTCAAAGTACAGTCTAATTCTAAAATCTAATTCTAATTCTAAAATCTTACCCAGGTAAACTTACAGTATGGTTTCAGCATCAACCAAAAATAGGTTATTCAAGGTTCATCAAGATTAACTCAAAGTCTTTTTGTATTACAATGTACTTGTACATTGTAGTTGGGAAAATGAAGAATTTGTTATTTTCATCAACCCAATGTGTATAAAGAAAGACAAAGGCAGCTTACACTTTACATTGTTTTTCAGTGTGTTAATGAGATCAACAACGAACATCCGGACAACGTTGGTTACACCAAACAGCGTCTCCCCACACCAGGGGTGGAGCTGAACCTGGACCCTGACTACCTGGTGTGTTGTGACTGCACCGACAACTGTCAGGTCTGTGTTCTTACATGTGTTGGGGAGGGCTGTTGATGCACTCTGATGCAAACGCATCATCTCAATTTAATATTTCAGATGTTAGAGTTGAAGTGTCAGTCATACATAGGATTACAAGCTTGAGTTATGTAATGTACATCAGAAACATTGACAATACTAACCCTAATGTCTTGTAAGTCAATCAATTGTCCATGGGCATCAGGCGCTGCTGCATGGCTGCTGCAGATATCTCTCTAGGATATCCTGAAACCTATACTATAGTAAAAAAGAAGTGTCCTTTACCGCGATCTACTCAATATTGAGACAAAGTATGTATTCAGATCATGATGATGATGTATTCAGTACAATACTGTACAGTACAATTGATGGGACAGACTTTGGGCTTGGATGTAAAATGCGAAGTTCAAATTTTTGTCATAGTTTGTATGTACATGACTGTTCTGATATTATTGCTTTGTTTGGGTGCAGAACAAGAAGACGTGTGCCTGTCACCAGCTGACCATCCAAGCATACCGGTCCAGCTGCAGGATAGGAGGCCAGGAAGACCCTGATGCAGGGTATAACTACCGCAGACTCACGGAGCAGCTGCCTACAGGGTACAGACTTGCATTGTACTTGTAGCGTGTATAGTCTAGTGATCAGTGACTGAATGAAGTATTTAATTTTCTGTGTTATAATATGTCACTTTTTGACTGGTATGCTCCCTTCTACACCCAGGATCTATGAGTGCAACTCCAGGTGTAAATGTAGCAAACAATGCTACAACAGGGTGGCTCAGAATGGCATAGGCCTCAGGCTACAGGTGTTCCGTACATCCAAAAGGTAAGATAGCTCTTAATTTTACAATGTATTACAACGATGTTGGTGTACATGTAGGTAAGGCATGCAGAAATGAATTCTGATATTTCTTAAATCAATAGAAGAAGTGTTTGAGGACGGCATCTGAAACATTTGAAATTTCAGATATATGTAGATTGATTAACAAAACATCATGTTACATTATATTATGGAAAATTTGGTGAGTTTCAATTTTTGTGTTCGAGAATCGTTTTTCCATAATGTTATTTACCAATATAATTTTTTTACATAATATTCAACAATGATGAATGCAATGCTATTGTCAGAAAGGGAAAGAACAGGCGAAATGTTTTATAACGCCAGTTGAATTGTTCTATCCCCACACCCAGGGGCTGGGGAATCCGCTGTTTGGATGACATCCCTCAGGGGGCGTTCATCTGTATCTACGCGGGGCAGCTGCTGACGGAGGATACGGCCAACAAGGGGGGACACATGTTTGGGGACGAGTACCTGGCAGAACTGGATCACATCGGTAATTATAGTCAGAATACACAGTTGTTTTCTTTCAGTTGGACAGCAATTTCTGCTGTCAATTGTATCAGCTGTACGTCGATGAAGGTTAGACATCCAAGACGTAATGAAATTATTACTCATGCAACTGGATGAGTTTTAAAATGTTTTTGGGAATTCCTTGAGTAACAGCTGTAGCTTGTTATAATGGCTGTTACTAGTAATGTGAATGAATCGTTATACTTGCACTGTTGTAATGATTCTGTTCCGTAACTCTAACAGAGGTGGCAGAAAAGTTTAAGGAAGGCTATGAGAGCGACGTTCCAGACAGCAGTGGGAGTGACATGAATGAATCTGATAGTGACTCAGACAACAGGTAAGGAAAGAGATAAGGGAAGGGTGAGCCAAACATCAAGAATGTAATGTGCAGTGACATTGTGCTCAAATAGTGTTATTTATTCATTGCCAACCCTGCAGTATTGAAATAGTGACTTCTAGACTTCTAGTTCTACACCCGGTATGTACAATACTTAACCATTGCAAATCAAATTAAATGTACACAGTAACAGTATTTATTAAGCCAGTTTAACTGTAATTTTTTAAATTTTTTTGTGCTTGGATTTGCAGTTTGAACTTGCTTCATAATGACTTCTCCCAACACAGATGAACTTTCAGGATAAGTAACAATCTGTAGTCTTTGCCTGCACTGCAAATTAAGATTGAATCTATTTTTCCTGTGACAGTAACTCTGGAGAGGAGCCCTCCATCAGCTCCTCCACCTCCCCTGAACCAGACCTGGACAACAGCAGTGATGAGGACTACAAACCTGAGATCACAGACAAGCCAGCAGACACCGGCGGGGCCGTCAAACTCATCCTGCGCAGAGAGTCGCGCGGGTCAACCTCCGGCAGGTCAGGGAAAACTACAGAGCAGTGGTGAGGGATGCAGTGGCAACTAAAAGTGTCTATTTCTAACATATGCATCTCAAGCATTTCATGTCCTTCCTTTTCTGCTCAATGCCCTGCACTGATGTGCTCCCCCCTTTATTTTCCTGTCTGTGCATGTCTTGGTGTTTCATTTCTCTTAAAGACAAAAACTTATTAGCCTTTATGTAACCCTTTTCACCCTTTGTAGTTAAGGAGTTTCAACTTGCTGGTTAGATCTTTCAATTCTTGTTTTTGCGATCTTTAGGTCTGTGAAGCCTCAGAAATGTGACACAGACAAGAAAGTGGAGTCCTGGATAGAAAAGAACCTCTCTGAAAAGAAGTCAGGTGACATGGGTAGCCAATCAGAGAGTAGGTCGTCTTCTGGTAGGGAAACTCCTAAGCAGATGCACCAATCACAGGACAGCAAGCCTGGCCCATCACAGCCAAACAAGGGAGACCTCGAGCAATCAGAAGACACAAATCCATCTAAGAAGGATTCGTCTGGTCAAGAACAGGAAAGGCACAATATTTTTGATATCATGGAGTTTTCTGAATCAAAAGATGGGACCAGCAAGACTCCAGAGCAGAGCAGCGAAGGACATAAGAAGGGAGACATGACTCGTTCCTTCCAAGATGCCTTAAAGGATATGAATGTCTCTATGGAAGTGTCACCCAAAAAAGCACCAGGACAGCAGGGTGCAGTGGGGGCAAATAAAGGATCTGCAAAGGATGATGGGACGACATCTCCTGTGACAGAAAGGAAGGGCACTGTTGAGGAAAAGCAGGAAGAAGAGAGAGTGACATACAAGACAAGACAGGAAAGACAGAGGGGGAAGAAAAGGAGAAGAAAGGTATAGTTGTGAAGCTCTTAAATTTTATATAAATCAAAAATTTTATCAACTAACTAGTAAATGTAGAGAACTGCCTTATATTCACTCACTTGGCTAATAAACATTTCTCTTGTTCCTTAACCAGGCAAAGACGGCAGTTCCCCAGTGAGGCACTATGGGTACCGTGTGGATGGAGAACGTATCATTGGACTGAAGAGGAAACACAGGAAGAAGGTTGTTGTAAAGGGTAAGACTAAGTTGTTACGTTAATCGCACACTACAATTCACAGTGATGTCCCCTTGACATGGTATGTATTTGTGTCATATATACAGGTACCGCATAATGTAATGATATGATTAATTATTGTATTCTTTTTTTCTTCAGCGTCCTCCTCCAGTGAGTCAGAAGAGTCCAACCTAAACAGCAGGAGGGGACTGTGAGCTGATGATCGTCGGTGCAACATCGCTCGCTGTCGACAGTGGAGACGAGACGTCAGAGTCAGACAGTGAGAAGGGCTCAGACAAAGGGAAGAAGAAAAAGGAGAAAGATCAACTCAAAGGTAAGTCTGGTAGTGAAAATGAAATGTGTTACAGCTATGTCAAGAGGTAGAAAAAAATGAATAGATATGTAATGTCATTTCATGGCTTATTAGAAAAGACTTTGCCATTTGGAACTCTCCATAATACCGGTATTGTAAAGACCACATCAATGTCGTTTTTTGCTTCTTGCTTGCTTAAGTCTGCAAAAATATAAGTCAGTTCATTCACTCAAAGTTGCTGTGATTGACTGAAGTGCACAATTTTAATCTTGTATAAGCTTTTGAAATGGAAATTTTTTAACAGTAGTTCTTTGTTTACTGTTTATGTTATCTGACATAGTCCCAGCCCCAGAGGACACCCAGCAGCCAGTGGCAGTACTGCAGCCCTCACCTGACAGAAGCACCAGGAAGTATTTTGGGGAAGAACATTGTTATGTCATGGATGCCAAGGTCATAGGCAACTGTGGCAGATACCTCAACGTAAGTGCACATCTGGTTCAAATTGGAATAAAATCATGAAGTGTGATGGTACTGCATGATAATTGCTCTTTTCTAGTTATGTGTGGACATTTGCATGACCATCAGTTTATATCTTTCTGCATATAGCTACATACACAGGAAGTAAGTTTCCTGTATGGTGCTTCCTTTGTATAACCCTGTAACACAATGTCTTGATGTCTGTGTTCTATACAGCATAGCTGCTCACCAAACCTGTTTGTACAGAATGTGTTCGTGGACACACATGACCTTCGCTTTCCCTGGGTCGCCTTTTTCTCCAGCAAGTAAGTCACTTTTAATGCACAAATTTCTGTCTAACAGTTTCTTCATCATATGATCATGAGTACATGAAGTTTTGCCATTTTTTAATCAATGCTTACAGACCACCGTTACAATGTAAAAGATGAGGGTTAGTTCAGTACATTCTTGTATGTTTTCCCAGGCGCATTCGGGGAGGCACAGAGCTGACCTGGGGACTACAACTATGAAGTAGGTAGTGTACCAGACAAGGTGCTGTACTGCTACTGTGGGTCAGAGGAATGTCGAGGCAGGCTGCTGTGAAAAGGGTCCAGTTTTAACTGATGCAATTAACATGTCCATGCCCATTGGTTTGGAAGGAAGCCACTTTCTTGTATAATCACTTGAGATTAACTTCAAGCACACTATTGAGTAAACAAAGAAAGTTCAAACAGCTGAAAAGGTCACTACTACTGTGTGTCACAGTGTAGATACTTAGTCCACTTATACATATTGAACTGGTTCTGGGTACCAAAACTTCATTCAAGGTACCAAAAAATATATTACAAAACATTAGTTGTAGTGTTTTTAAACAAAATGAGACTTTTTTCAAGTTCCAGATGTCTGCAATTGTAAGCAAGACACATTAATCTTATATCTACTGTAAACATACTGTTTTTTATATCTAACTAAAACTAGCTGTAACTGTTAAACAATGATCTTACCTATATTATATCTCTTTACTATTGCCGTTTAAGACTTGTTGCATTGTTTTTTGAGCTGCTAAATAAAAACATGGTTACAGTGTTTGTAAACATTGTCCCTGAGTCACATGTCACTTCTGAATCTGGAGCCTCACTGGTACGTTGTTATAATGCCCTTATGAGTTCTTTACCTTTACCATGGAGGTAGAAAAACTTAATGCATTAACTCATGGTTAAACCTTGTAACATTTTCCTACGTTACCCAATAGCAGGGGAAAAGGTAGCCATTTTGTTTTGGGTTTTAATGAGTTCCAAGAAAGATACTAGTAGTCAGAAGTAAGACCTTAGTGTTAGGTCACATACATGTAAATTGTCTCTTTATATGGTTGATGGCAACTTTGTAATTTCTGTACAGGAACGAACATTCTGTTGGACCAAAATGTATTGGAATAATAAAAAAACCTATTTCCAATATAAAGATCTCCGTGTACCTAAGACGCGCTTTTGACTAAAATGGGGGTGATACAGAGCTACCCGTGAAATCGCATGTATCTCAAGTTTGGCGTGACCAATCAACTTCAAATTTGGAAGTAACTTAGATGAAATACCACTGATTGTAAATAACTACATCTTCCTTCGAAAATCTGCATAATTGTTCCATAAATGATAATAATATTAGATCATTGTGAATATATAAAATTGACCTAGACCAAACCCTTCCGCTCAGAATTGTAATACAAAACTTTCAGAGAATGTGGGGAGATATGCACTTAGTAGGAATCGGTTTCCAGAAAAGAAGAATATAGCTTAGATTTGAAAATATTTTGAAATATAGTCCATTTTGGTAGAATTTTAGGGGGTAGGTATGACTTTATCTATCAATAGCTAGATATACGGGGATAAAGTAGTTTTTCTGAAAACCGATTCATAGAAACCGACTTCTTACGCATTGTTTGCACCCGATTTCAACTTTGTAACCGAATGGGAAGAGTTTGGTCTCGGGCTTTAAAGTTTAAAAGTCTAAATTCTGGTCAATTTCCTTCCTTGACCTGTCAATCTTTATCAAGCCTCATGACTGTGAATGACCCACTCAAGGCCATTACAGGCAATTATCTTTAATTATGCATAGCGGACAGACGGCAGCATGTATCCATTCAAATTCAGACTCTACCACAAGTCTTTGTTTTTAAACATTTGTTTTTTACTTCTCGAATAGAAAGTTCTGGGTTTGAAATGTAGTTTTATATATAGAGCAGCTATGAACCTGAACAACAGCTATAATTGTTGGGCAGAAGATAGCTAGATGTGTTCTAATTCATCTGAAGAAAATTTCTAATAGACTTTTAACCCTGGCCCAGTGAAATGAAAAATCGTTTGATGTGTATTGACTTGTCTGGCTCCAAGCATGCACCTACGACCGTGTCCTGTATCTCCCTAAACTTCCTTGCTTATACCATTATTATACAGTTCATGTCGTTTCTTGTCATTCCTCCGTTTTCACAATGTTTATTTTGAGCGCCATGTACGTGCTTTAAGTTTTAATCTTGATGACGTGAAATGTTACATAATGGTAGCTTTGATTTGCTACATAATGGTAGCACTAGTTTTTCTTTATAGGGGCCACTAAAGAACATTTAGCACATAAAATGGTCATTTTGAATCCTGTTTGTAAACTATGGCCATCGTAGTCTCTCACAGTACCTTTACTAGTCTTTGGGAGGTGGCTGGAAATATTAGAAATTGGCCATAATAGAGAGACAATATGCCGAGGGAGTTGGTCTGCTAGAAAGTACATTTTGCCGCGCCCGGGTGCATGTTATCAACCAATTTCTTTCTCTTTCCTGCTACCTTCCGAAGCCTGGTAGAGGCTAAATATATGTAATACACAGGCCTTGTCAGCCCTTGTCAGTTGGACATTGAGCAACGCACGCTGGCTAAATAACCAAGGACTATGAGATTATAACCTCCTTGCTATATCTTTGGACCTATATAGCGTGCTATGGGTCTTCGTTCACACATTAGTAGGTTATAATTCTACCTCTATGGTTCACACAATGCGTTTAACGCTAGTACAAATTTACCTCCTTGATTAGTCCGTAATATAATCTCCTGGAATTCGGAATACACTATGTATTGGTACTAAAATGGAGAACAAAGATTGTCTGAACATGGCTGAAATCAAGGAGGTTATAACCTCGCACAGTTGGAATCGGGGCGCCATCGCCAATTTATAAGACCCCGTCATATAGACTTGAGTTAGATTCTGGTGGATACATGCTGTATTTAGGAAAATGTTTCTCATTTTTACTTTCTTTTCAAGCATGTTTCAAGCTATGAAGTCTTCTAACATAGAACACTGAAAATACAAAGAGGGTGTGAAGTTAGCACATACAAATGCAAAATAGCAGGAGGGGCAGTGGGTGGTGAAGCTACAGCAATTATCACCATACCTATTGCATATTTACGATTTTCTACTCGCACCTTGCTCATTTCAATGTCATTATAATATTAAAATGAGGTCTTTGCTGGGGGAAAGAAAGCGCGTCTTAGGTACACAGAGATTGTATGTCATAGTGCCACCTTCTTTGTTTAGAAAATTGGATATGGAGTGAGGTACTCTCCAAGCAGAGGTTGGAGATGGAGATCATGGTTATATCAAGGAGGTTAAATACAAGTTATGCAAATTGGGCGCAATTGGCACCTCAACATGAAGTTGGAACTTCACACCTGAGGCAAACATCGTTGAATGGGCAGTAATCCTGTTCTGTCTCCTTATATTTAACCTCCTTGTTTATATCAAGGACATATAGATTCTTTTGATAATTATCTGAAGTGAAATTACCACATGTAGAGAGTGGTATCATCAAACAGTTGGAAATATCAATACTATAATGATGCATTGCCTACTACATGAGCCTTAAGTTATGGAATCAAAATGTATGTATAAAAAAAGATTGAGTTTTTCATGTAAATCGTCAAGTGCACTGGGGACGACCACCTCATAAAGTATTATGTAATAGAAGAGCAAATGATGTAATTTTCCCTTGAGAGTAAAATCGTTGTGATTCATCGGTTCTTGTTATGACTCAAATGCCGTCGCCAAAACTCCCGCCTTTTGGTGGTCATTTGAATAGGAAATTAGATCCCAACTTAGCAACTTTGTCCTATGGTCTGATGTTGCAAACAAACGGAAGACAAGGCCAGGGAACCAGGGCTGCCATTGGTCAGTTTTATAATTAGATTTGGAACCCAGTCCTTTAAACCAATCACATTGCAGCATCATGTAGGTTGCACTCGCTGATTGGTTGACTAATCGAGAAAATACCATCGAGATGGTGACGTCAGGTATGCTAAGTAGGTCGGGGGAAGTGTGTCCATTGCAAGCAGACATGTTGCAAAGAAGGCTGGACTGAGGAATTCGGGCTCTGTGAGCCGTTTTTAGGGGGTACACTTGTATGTTATTCCAAAATCGTACTGCCAAAAGAAGGGGGAATAGCAGGGAGAGAACAGGAAACCCTGGAACGGGATATTAAGAACGGAACGGGCGGAAAAAGGAGTGACTTTTCTCGCGCGGAAACCACCATCTTGCTGGGTCGGACCGTCGAGGGGCTATTGTCCTCACACTCAACAGTCCTGCAAATATCAGCTTTCCTGGGCACACAAATAATGCCCGAGCTCTGGACCGCCTCTGGAAGGTAAGATCTGTGCACTATGTTCCGTTTGGGCATCAGAAATATCCTGTTAAGTGTGTTGAAGGTTGAATCGGATGCTCTGAAAAATCGGGAAAACTTGGGCTGATGACAGAAGTTGTTTGTGAGGCTTCCCAGAGAGCGTGTTGTTTTGCACAGAACGGCAGCATTGCGCAAGACTGGTACCGATCGACTCCTCTCTGGATCCCCATAACTTCATCTGTCGAATAATAGAGACTCCGCTGGCAGAATGTTGCCGCAGTATGTGCCGTCTGATCTGGCATATTGTACAATCTGGGGCCTCCAAGTCACAGGGAGAAAATATGCTACTCGATGTGGGAGGGGGGGCAGGAATGACGCACACATTTTGCAGATGGCCTACTTTTTTCCTCGTTCAGATTCCGCCCTGTTGTCTGCCTACCCACATACAGATTATCATTTCCACCTAGTGTGTGGGATCAGCTAGAGTCCGTTTGTCGATGGAACTGACAAGTTGTCATGGTATTTAATTCGCGATGAATAAATCGGTGAAGTCATCATGACCTGACTGTCACAGGGCCAGACAGCTTGCCAGAGGAAAGGAATTTGGCTAGCATTTGTCGCCTACCATGATCGCTTCCTGGCGTTTGGAAATCAACAAAAATAACTGCAACTGAAATTGACTTAAAAGACACCAATAACAGGGATTTCGTCAGGATTTGTATGAATTGGACGGTCTTTTTATGGAGTTCCAGATGTGAGTGCAGTCACGCATAAGTTGGATTATGTCACCCCTATTTTTGGACCTCCCAGTTCTATAATTATTTCCTATCTTTTACGATCACACCAGACTACAGTCAAAGTCAGAGAGTGACATAACCCCGTCTGTCCATTTAATCAGTTTTGAGTTCTAAAGGCATTGAAATGTCCATCATTTTCGGTGAGAAGGAAGAATTTGGAGAGGAAAAAACCATGGGAAACAACAAGAATGCACAAGAGATATCAGTGCCTGCCAAACATCAGTACACAAAAGGCTTGGAATATATAACTGCTTACAGTTACACATTATTAACAAACAAACAGAATCACACAAAGATCGATACTTGTTTGGTAGTCTTTCAATCTAGGAAAGGGTACAATTTTTAGAGGGAGAAATAATTTTCATTTATGTCCATGGATATGTGCAAAATCATTTCAAACCAATATTACTTTACTTGGATATAGAATTATAGAGATCATGTTTTCATTGAATTATGCGAAGATGACGTAGATGAAAATTACTTGATTTAGTATGTCTGGGAAGCCACTACTTGTTAATGTATTAGCCATTGTTTGATAATAGGATTTTCAAATGACAGCACTGATGTACCACTACAGTCTGATTGTGCAGGTAATTGTAAGGCAGTAGTGGTAGTAGTGGTCAGAGATGTCACACTGCAGGGTGATGGAACACTGGTTTGATTGTGAAGACTGCATGTAGTCAGCCTTCCACAGACAAGACACGAGCTGAATAGCCATTTCACAATTTTCAGCGATCAGAAGCATGTCAGCTGTGATTAGTACATGTGATGAGAAGGGATGGTTCAAGCTTTTGCCGCTGACACTATGATAGAAGACCTCATCTTCGACCCATGGAGTAGTCTAATAACAGTGTCTTCATGCTGCTGTGTTACTCATTTGCACTCTTATAAGGAGGTTGGATGGGTGTAATATCATTCTAGCTTACTGAAGTTGTGATCATGCAAACCAATTGAAAATCAGGCTAAGGAAAGTAGAATTTGTTTTGGAGGGTTTCCTGGGGATAGAGTTACCGGAGTAGTAATGAAAAGTTTTATCTTTCTAGTTCTACTTCAGAACAGAGAAGGTGTGTCATCGTAATTCGCTTTCCACTTTCAGTAAAATATGACTCTTCTATTATTGAAAAAATGATATACCCTATTCTTCTCGAATAGACTCTGCATTCAATTTTAAGGTCGCTATAGTATGATTTAATGCATCCATTTTAGTACAGATTGAAGGTGATATTTTTGTGTGTGTGAATATTTATGGCAGGGTAGTGGGGTTCCTTTGCAGCTGTTCCAGGGAAGCTTTTGGTGTAAATGGGCTGCCACTCAAGTCTGTTGTGTCTCCATAGGGGTAGTGCAGGGGGTAGCCCCAAATACAGACAGCAGAACAGGGATGCATTCAGTTCTGAAAAATCCTCAGGCAAATTGGGTGATTCAGAATTTCTCCATGTGATTCAACCGCACCTATTTTGGGAGGCATTCATATTTCTTGGTACATGAGCCCATAATTTAAAAATTTGATGAGCATTTACTTGACTGACACAGTAATGTATAGTTGTCAAATGCAGATTTTCTTTTATTTTTTGTACTGCATTAAATGTTATTGTTCAGACTCAAAGCAGACAACATAATGTTCTTATGACCCCTCCCTGGGAGGTGCCCCTCCTGGTGTTAATGTGTGAAAAACAGCCTAACCTTTCACACAAATAACCTATACCTTTCGTGTATTGTCTTCAGGCAATATTACCTGTAATTTGCGTATGAGTTTTGACTTCTAATTACATGTGTATAAGATTTAACGTGTAGAATCAGGATTTATTTTCACTAGTTGAATTGCATAGTAGTACACAGGAGTATTTCATTACATAATTCAGCTGGAACATTCGCACTTTCTCATTCTGTATCAATAATATTTCTGGACCACATCTGTGTTACTGTACTACTACATTTTCATTTTGTTGAATAGTGACCAGTAGTCAGAGCAAAGGTTACAATTGAACTGAGGCAGAATTGCAGTTGCTAAAAGTTTCCTAGCTGAAGTGACTGCTGTTATGTTCTGTTGTGCTAACCAATACTGCAGTAGTCTGGTGGGGTACAAAGGTCAGAATAGGTGACATTGTGAACTATGAGTGATTGTAAACATGATATTTGTGGCTTGCATCATACAGAGCTTTGGTTGGGGAATACCAGATCACAACAGCTGTTAAATACTAGCGAATATAACCTCAGTAGGTAATAGGTATATCAATAGTAATACTAATAGCCATTTCTGCCAGTGTCTCTCCCAGAATCAGTGAATCTTGGTACACCTGTCTCCCACCAGTTTTGGCTTCGATCAAGTCTCCAAACTGGTCTCTGCAGCCAAGGCAAGTTGTTCATTACGGCTACCGCGGCTAGGCAGAGATGCAACATCCTTGGTCGGTGACACATTCTTGCCACGAGAGCCTGCCAATTGCATTCCCTCCCACAGTTGAACACCATTTCCCATAAATACAAAAGCTGGTTTATGTATAGCAAAGTTAATTCATGTTTTGAGTATGTGTGTAAGTTTGTATGATGGATGCAAAATGCAAACCATTTTGATATTTGCATCATGAAGGGGACCTAAAACATAAATCAAGTAGTGAATGAATGGGTGTGCATACAGTCCCAGAACGAATTGACAATTGTGTTATTACTTCCTTCATTGTATCTTTATAATAAGAGCGATTACAGAAAATTTGCCTTACAGAAATAGAAAGATGAACGTCGACTACCTGAGGCTTTCAATGTTTTCAAACTGGCAGATGGGAACATAATTTGCCACTTTGTTAAATTGGTGAAAAAATTGGCTCTATTTGTGGATGATTGTTTGGGTTATTATGGCAGAAATGACAATTTCTCTGCCAATATTCACGCACATTGCCCTTCATCTTTCATGTAGCTGTTAAAGATGGTAATCATTTTACATAAACCTCATAAAATTATGAAGGCAAATCAGGATGTTGAACAATTGAACTGCTTTCAGTTGGAAAATTTTACCTACACCCATTGATCGTTGTGAATGAAATAGTCGGAAATGCAGGAAGCCATTTGATATGTCAGCTGCATATGCTGATCTGCACGTAGCCGGCAATGTGATGTGATATTTTCCATACCGCACGTAGCTTTCATGAACAGATATTCCCTACGGCCTCAGTACTGTTTGTGTTTTATCCCTTAGAAAAAGGACAATATTTTGTTGCCATGCCTGCTACTACTGTATGAAATAGTCAAATACTGGCAAATGCAATCATTTGGTAAGTGTGTGAAATTTGATGTGTCCAGATATGACAGTTTTATTCAGGATTGATTACGATTGAATTGGCTGTTGTTAATGACAGTAATACGTATCAGTTGATTTGAGAAAAATTCATCCAAGCACAGTAATGTCCTGACAATTTATCAAACATCTATCACTGCCTGAATTAAGTCTTGTCAAATTTTAAAAAAATATTTTGCAGTATTTTTGTCAAAGGATTTATCATTACCCATGTAGACACCAAAAATATCTGCAGGTTATCAGTAATATGGTCAGTTTGGTAGTGCCAATTGGAAGCAACATTGAAATGACTTCTTATAAAAAAAAATTTTTTTTTTTATTGTTTGCATTAACAGTGAAAGGAACTGTTGTTTTTTTCGTAGAAGAGGAGAACCCAGACAAAGGACATTATCT